TATTATTATTATTATTATTATTATTATTATTATTATTATTATTATTACTGCGAAACTATTACGATTATGAGTATGGTTATTATTGATTATTACCATCATCGATTATTAGTTACTATCACTACAGTCATATAATACCTTTGTAAATGAGAATCAAGACACTGACGGCTAGGGAAAAAAACTTAATAAATTGAAATTCTATTAACCCAAACGCGTTCAATTGTCATTCCATTGATATAGCTGCCGATTCCTCTTACAGATCGTGGACGTATATTCCAGGAAGATTAGGTGCAGGTAGGGAGAAAATGGTTTCCAATAAATTTAATAGCAAAAATTTAATTTATTTAGTTTGAAATGTAAATAGTCTCCATGATACATACTATCTAAATGATTAATGAACTATTAATCAGACTTAAGTTATCCTTAATGTTATAATATTATGTACTGAGTATGCAAATTTAAATAACTGCTTAGCATCAATTACAAACTAGAATTTAAAAAGTAACTTATACTATACAGGCAGCATATTTTCTGACAACACAAAAATACCTAACAGCTTTTCGTACGAATACGCAGCAATTTCGAGATGGTAACCGAAACGAAAAAAAAGCTAGAAGGTATTGTTGTATACCAGGGGCATATCTGCGCCTACAAGATGACAAGCGAAGCGATCAGCAGCTAGTGTCGGTTGCTACATACTAGGAGCACTTCTGCGCCTACGAGATGACAACCGAGCTGACACATACGAGATGATACGTGCCACATATTCCTCGTGCCACCTCTTCGCATATCATGTTCTCCTGACACAAAATTCGGACCAGAATTTCATACACAAGGAATCTTTGGACCGAATTTCACTCCTGGTATCAGGAGCACATGATATGCGAAGAGGTGGCACGTTTGCGCCTACGAGCAGGCAACCGTCCCGACATATCTGTAAGTATAGGTTACCTAATTTAAGGGGCCCCTTTGTGGTAAATATCGAAATTCCTGCCGATCTGACATTTGGGTATCAGGAGCACATGATATGCGAAGAGGTGGCACGTTTGCGCCTTCAAGCAGGCAACCGGCCCGACATATCTGTAAGTATAGGTTGCCTAACTCAAGGGGCTAATTTTCGGTACATTTCGGAATTCTGACCAATTTTGCAAAGTTAACAATGTTGCAAATCGCTCCTCTTAAGACTTCAACAATGTTGCAAAGTCAACAATGTTGCAAATCGCTCCTCTCAAGACTTCAACAATGTTGCAAAGTCAACAATGTTGCAAATCGCTCCTCTCAAGACTTCAACAATGTTGCAAACTCAACAATGTAGCAAATCGCTTCTCTTAAGACTTCAACAATGTTGCAAATCGCTCCTTTCAAAATTGTGATGGGAAATGTCGGATTTTTACTCCTGGTATCAGGAGCACATGACATGCGAAGAGGTGGCACGTTTGCGCCTACGAGCAGGCAACCATCCCGACATATCTGTAAGTATAGGTTGCCTGATTCAAGGGGCACATTTTCGGTATGTATCGAAATTCTGGCCGATTTCACATTTTGATATCAGGAGAACATAATATGCGAGGAAGTGGCACGAATAATAACTAGCACTTACCTGATACTTACCAAATTTTACGTTTTGTTATCAGGAGAATATGATATGTGGACAAGTGGTAGGTATAATAGCTAGTACTTACCTGATACTTACCAGATTGTATGTTTTGTTATTAGAAAAACATGATATGCGAGAAAGTGACACGAATAATAACTAGCACTTACCTGATACTTACCAGATTTTATGTTTTGTTATTAGAAAAACATGATATGCGAAAAAGTGGTACGAATAATAACTAGTACGTACGTAATACTTACTCGATTTTACGTTTTAGTATCCGGAGAATATGATTATTACCGAAAAGGTGGCACGAGGAGTATGTGGTGCGTATCAAATCCTATCCAGAATTTTACATTTTGGTATCTATTCGCAACATTGTTGTAAATATATCTGTTCAAATGTTGAACAATGTTGTAAATAGGGAAGAAGGAATATTAAGAGAAAGTGTAAACAACCTGCTCCGACATGATGACAACTGAACTGACAAAACTGCAAGCATAGGTTGTCGCATGAAAGGGGCAGCTCTGCGCCTAGGTGATGAGAACCGGTTTTATATTATCTCTCGGGAAACGGGCGAAACTACTCGCCGACGACAAACTTGGGCCTTTTGCCACGGATGGCTCCACTGAACTATTAAATACCGACATTAATTAACTGCAATTATTCATACAAATAAAGCTTTTCGCAGATAAATATTAACATATAACGTTAAATTACACTTGAAAAAACGAGATTCGTTGGCTAAGAAGAGTGATTTATGCTTGTAAGTAGGAAATTTTTATCTTTAGTTATAGGTGACGGAACTGGTTTGTTTTAACATTTATGACAGCAACTGAAGGCTCTCTCAAATGAGTTTTGTTATTAAAATTATTCTACAATAATTGCAAGTTCACTATGAGACGTAAGAAATTACAATTTTACGAATCTATTTATCAAAAAACAACAAATAAGTTTAAAGGTAAAGTGATACCCATGAGAGGTATACTAAGTGATGCATGATTAAAAAACTTGAGGCAGTAATTAAATATAAAGTAATAGGAAGCGTGGAGTAATTTAGTCCTATGGGCTTCAAATTTCATCTAAATTTCTTTCTCACTAAAAGATATACTTCTGGAATCTCCGAATACTTTCCAGTAGTACGAAAGAAATTTTTTACTAAATATAACAATGGTCTACGGTAGTGAACACACTCAATAACCTCGTCTGTGGTTGCTTTCTTATCGCTCTACTATTCAGCTTATATCGGTCCTGGTAGTTGACTGTGTTCTCGCAACTGTTCGCTCACCAAAAGACTCGGAATCATGAGTTGCATCGCGACATCCGCTCTCCACGATAAAAACGTAGTCTTAATTCCATTTAAACTAACAACAGTAAATACAAGCATTCTTTCTCATTTCCTAAAATAAATTCAGTTCATTCCGTGAAGACGTCTTTAACCTAACGCTTATGTAATGACTGAACTGTGTAATAAAACATTAATACATTCTCCACTTACACGTGATTGATAAGGCAGCTATAAGTTCAAACTGGAGATCAGTCATTTGGAGGACTCGAGCCAACCAGCTCTAATACATTAACAAATGATTAAACTTTAAGGCCTTCACCCCCACCTCCACCTCCGCAGGTAGGAAGCTCGTGACGCTCCTGTAGCAGGCGCCAAGTTATTATACTGCTATGTATACGTAGCCGCAATCCTAGTGTGAAATCAGTGAATCAGTTTGTCGTCACCAGGCTCGGTCTCAAGAAAAAAAAAAATGGTAAACGCACGAAATATCGATGCATCGTTTATCGGCGATGTATAGGGCAAGGATATGCAAGTGGTATCTCACTGTCGACCGCCGCGCGACTTGTGACAGTTTAACCTCGTCTACCGAACAGGTTGGACGTAACGAATCCATTCACCGCACAACGCTGGTCTTCAACGAACTAGTATACTTTCACGATGTATCAGCCTGACGATCGATCTGAGGTCAATGACGATCTGAGTAATCATTTACGGCTGACCTCCATGACCAGGACCAAGGAACTGACCAAGATGACGCCAAAACAAGCGCAGGAGTTTCTGGACTCGTTTGACATTGTCCTGTCGGACTGTGATGGCGAGTGTTATAAATAAACGCATAAACGTAACAGTGGGCACGATTAGCTCAGGCTTCCAGGCATCCGATTGGTTTGGATCCAAGGGTAGATTGGTGATATCGCTATTAATGTATCAGGTGTCCTCTGGAGGATAATGGACTCCATCCCTGGCGCGTTGCATACGATGTCTAGGCTTCAGGACATCGGGAAGAAGATCTACCTGGTGACCAACAACAGCACGCTCACCTTCGACCAATACTATCAAAAGATAAATAAATTTGGACTGGAATTGAAACCGGTGAGTACCTGAATATTGTAAGTATTGCGATCTGAATTGAATCTATCAAACACTGTACACGGCAGTTTCACGGAAAGAATCATTACGTAGAAAAAGAAATTGGAGTATAGGTACATATTTAATTAAATTAACATTAATGCGTTTTGGGCACAAATAAAGAAAGAATTCACTCCTTTAAGTTCGATGTTTGGGTTAAATAATATTGACTGAACTACATCGTAAACGAAAAGTGAGTAGGAAAATCTCCTATTTCTTTGATGATTTTTCTTTCCATTTCGCGTGAAAGCTTTACTGGGAATCTCATAAATATTAGACTACGACGAGATACACATCTGTCTGTAACGCCTCTGCGCGACCTGTTGTAATGTAAATTACATTTTAAAAAGAAAACCTTCGCTGCGAGGTCTCGAACTGTGGAAATCTGTAGAATCACGTTCGTTCGGTTAAAGCAACGATTATTTCGATTTATTACCGTTTTAACTACCTAGAATGTTTAATTCAAAATACGTCAATGTAGATAAAATTAATCACAACGTACCGTGTCTGCACATACCTTGTTCGTATCTTAACATTAATTATTCGCTGTTGAATTTATTTCATATTATATTGCGAACAAAGTACGAAATTATTGGAATACCGCGAACCGCTTAATTTATTGAAAGAGGACAGAGAATAATTTATATCTAGCGGTAGATATAATTTTAAACTACGCACAGTGCGTCGATTAATGGACAAAAATCGAAAAATGATGAATTTGCTAGAGCGCAATTTAGCATTTCATTTTGTTACCTAGATGTCAATAGCTTGAAATTATTTGTGGTTGCTAAGGAATCGCACTTATTTATAGTTATATGGCTACCTAATTGTAGCATATTATCACGCTCATTTCAGTTCGCAGTTTACGATGGTACAATTTACTTCTTTTTTTTCCACTTAGTCTGTAGTAATATTCATTCTTCATAGCTCATTTTCTCTGTCATGGATTCCACTATTATGGGTATTTTTATTTCATAGCCGTTACCTATATTAACAGTTTACTGATTATTAAACAATTCTCATGCGTGAGATTCGAAATTAAATTTTAAAATAGACTTGAAAAAGAAACGTAAAAAAATGTATCAGTGATTCTTTTATATTTGGTTCCTCTAACTTTATATTTCATGCAAACAATGTCCACTGTTGCTACTACCTGCTAATATTTGAGAAATAAATTTTTTTAGAACGAGTCGTTAAAATCAAGAATATTGAAATTGCTGAAAAGTGGATCTCGATAGAACAATGTAACAAAGTTAGCGGAATAAATATTGATAATAACCATTATAAATGACATAATAATTAATATAAGAAAGTTATGATTAAAAAAAATTAGAAACATATATTCGTTGCCTGTTATACTCTTAAATAATATTTATAAAATATTGTTTACCTTAAATCTATTATTCATTTATTCTACATGTCGATATAAAATGATATTGATGAGCTATTAAATAGCCACGTATAGTTTCATTCTTTTGGTACCAGAATTAATAAAAAAAATATATTTATTTATGTAAACATTTCAATGAAAATGTTTTAGCCGCTAATGTTTATTTAAATCTATTTTCTACGTTACCAAGCACGAACAAGTAAAAAAAAAAAAAATATATTATTTTTGTCCACGTTTGCCTATCATTCGCCGCACTGTGCGACGGTGGAAAGACTGAGCAAAATGCGACTTAATATAAAAGACACCTGAAAGCATCTCAAATACCAACGCACAACGGAAACTCTGAGAGTGAAGGGAGATCCGCATTCAATTGGGCATCACGATTAAGGGGGCCCCACGTGAAATGAGGCTCTGCACTGAAGGAAGATTAAGAGTGCCTGTGCCTCATGAAGGAGGGAGCTTTTCTACCAATTGGTCCTAAGTACGAACTAAGTTTCCGCCAATTGGGCCTAAGAAGGGCACCACGCCTACAAAGGATCCCTGTCCAATGAAGTCTTGCGCTGGAGGAAGACTCAAAAGTTAAATGAGTCTGAGCCTGAGGATTCTGAGCGACGCAGAAGAGGGCCTGCTCGACCAATTGCGTTTAAATAAGCATTAAAGGGGGCCCTTATCTAAAGAAACATTTCTGAATAACTATTAGGTTGTCTCAAAAGTTTCTTCCGTGACTTGCACTCAGTTATTTCATGTGGCAGTGTTTATATAAATAGACAACCTAATTTCTTAGATGTTAATGTTGTAACAGTAATGGAGCAAAATGAATCGTACCCAATTCAATAATATAACATTAGACATAAAATATTGTGTATGTATTACTTGTTCATGAAATAGAAGAAACTTTTGGGACAACCTAATAGTTAACTCGATGAAAATTTGGAGAACGTCACCGAGGATAATTTGTCAGTTAATTTAATTCTCTTTGTCTTGTAATATATTACTAATCTTGAAATGCGTTTAAAGGTCGTAATGTAACGTGGTACCGATTCACTAATGCTTCTTTTAAACGGGCTTATGATTTATTGAAACATTACGCGATGCAAAATGCTAATGTATCTGCTAGTCTTAAGTAGTTGAAATATAAATAATGAGATACTAATTTAAGGTTTTACGTTACACAAAATAAATGTAATAGATTTGTTTTTAGATGGTCGGTAAATTTAAATTCGAAGCAGCACTCCGACCGTTTCACTCCTACGTAATTTAACGAATTTTTTAAATACGTTACATTACGCTTCGACTAAGAGAATATAAATATACTTTTCAATATTCAGGAACAAATAATACTGCCATCGAATGTGGTCGGCTGGTACCTGAACAAAATTAACTTTCGCGGCGAGGTGTTCTTGATCGGCAGCACGCAGTTTCGACAAGTTTTACTCGATCATGGGATCAAATTAACGCCAGAATGCGTGAGTAATACAATTATTTGCCAGGATTCGTTCTCTACGGAGAGCATAAAAAATTATTAACATTTCTGGTGTCTCATTTCAGCCAGATGTTCAAGAATGTGACCCAGTGAGGACGGTGAAGGCTGTACAAGATCGACCGTCGATCAAAGCAGTGGTAGTGGATTTTTCATTATTTTTCGATTGGGCAAAACTGGCTCTAGCAGTTTCTTGCCTGAAAAGGAAGGATGTTCTTTACATAGTGGGTGCTCTGGACGAATGGCTCGTGTGTGGAGACAACAGGAGACTCGTAGGTAATTGATTTTTTTAATCAGTATGGATTAAACCAATGCCAGCTAAATAATAATAATAATAATAATAATAATGATAATAATAATAAATGTATATAATAATTTGCGAGGCCCGGTGCAGAGAGCATTTCAGTTAAAAATATTTTAATTTAAAATTGCATATTTTTCATACAACTTTTACATCAGCTTAGAGCTTTAAATTAGAGTAACAACGAATTTCTATAGACACCTGTAATATTTATACAAGAAACACGACTGGTTAATATCAGGTTATTTAATAACCTCTATTTTCTCGTTAGGTCCTGGCCATCTGATTAATGTAATTACGAAGGTGAGCGAACGAACGCCCATCGAGTGTGCGAAACCTAGCAACGCCCTGAAAGAATTCGTCATGGACAAGTGCGAAGTGCGGGACCCGAAACGATGTTTGTTCATCGGAGACACGTGAGTCAATTGTGTCACTTAATTAATTGAAATAATTCTATTATCAGAATTGAACGTTTCAACGACACGTTCCAGGATAACTCACGACATGAAATTCGCAACGGTGTGCGGTTTTCAGAAGCTCTTCGTCAACACGGGCGTGGATAAAATCGAAGATGCGTTGCAATGCGAAGGGGCGGAACCAGATTACTATATTCCTAGTTTAGGTTTGCTGTATCCTATTATCGATTCCCTATACGGCGACTCTGCGAAACAGAAACACAGTTAACGACTGTTAACGGCGTCAACAGTAGTAGTCTTTGTAGTTAGTAAAAATTCCATCTCGTTCGAGTGTAACGAATGTATGAGGTTGGGAAGAAGCTTTTAAACGTAAATTCAAAATAAAGGAAAAGTTTCATGGCGCATAATAGATTCGTCGCATCAAATATTTTAGGGAGGTACGAATAGATGTTTCGTGAAGAAGTATATCGAACGAAGTGAATGAATTTTTGTAAGAACTTTTGCCTTGACATTAAGCAAAACTTGTCTGAAGAAAGGGGTTGCACGAGGTTAGGTCTCTTTTAAATTCATAAAAATGGTTGCTCTAATGCTAGAATTATATTCTCGAGAAACTTTCAACGTGACAAAGAGATTTTCAGACACCTACACCAAGAACGACTACTTTAATTTATCATTAACAAATCGTCGAAGAGAATACTTCCTCCTATTGTAGTTCCTACACACGATCAATAAATGTTTACTTAAGTAAGTTTACGATGCAAACGTACAAAGTCACATAGTTATTATTACTACGCATTATACAATGTTCCTGCAGTTCTTGACACGGGACTGTATTCGAAAGAAGCAATAAAAACTTATCTAAACGAAACATATTGTGCATTTCTATATTGTCACACGAGATTATCGTCCTCTAACCCTCCCACAACTGCAGACCGTGGCAGAGAACTTCGATAAGCTCGGAATGCCAATTAGTGCTCCAGATAGACACGTGACACTTACGGAATTATCGTGACACTTACAATTAGACAGGAAACGCTGAGCATGAATCTAATGACCTGTAATTATTAGGACACACTAAAACCTCCACAAATAGGGTTTGAAATTGTTGAGATACAATGCACATCGCATTATGAGGCTTCTGGTAGAGTTAAGGAGTGGGGGATACAAGAAGGTATGGCGCAGTGGAAGCGGCTGTATGAGCTTAGCATGGTGTTAATTAATAATATATGTATTTAAACAAACTTCTATTATAATAACAGTACTCGACAGAAATGATTCTATGGGAACTTCAATTACTGTGACGATAAAAATGTAGCTAAACTATACCATAAATGTAGATGTCTTTATGGAACTGATTACGTGGAGAAGTCTATGAGCATGAGAAACTCTTCGTTCCATATTCGTAAGAGCAAAAAGGACGAGACTTGAAGAACAAGGGAAGCTGATGACGAAAGACACCGATGATAAGGATCTTCATGTCTAAGTGTACCTTCGTGTTAGCAATTACCTCCATAGTTGCACGTATCCCAGGACTTCAAGATTGTCCATTCGAAAGAATTATTTAATGCTGTATGCGCCAAATATCCTAAAGCTACCCACGTATACACCGACGGTTCCAAGAATAATCTTGGAACAGGAGCATTTAGTCTTTACGCAGGATTTATAGATCAAATACGGAATGAATCCCTTCAATAGCATCTTCACAGCCGAAAGCTACGCACTCCTCTCAGCTCTCGAGTTTATCGATAAACTCACTCCGAATTTATCGTTTTTTCCGACTCCCTCTCCATCATCCTAAACATCCAAAACCTGAAGCAATCCATGGAAATTCACATAGCAATCCGAGAATTATGTGACAAACTAGCTAAACACGGGAAGACAACGACATATGGGTCTCCTCCCATATGGACATACATGGGAATGTCATGGCCGACCTCGAAGCAAAAATCGCAACACTACAACCGCATAACCAAGCTATATATAACACTGCTTCAGACATTAATAAATATCTAAAGACACTATGGAAACAGTCGTGGAATCGAGCATGGAAAAACTACAGAGCAAGTGCGCTCCATAAATCAATTAACAATTTCTTTGACCTCGCAACAACTTCCAATTTCAACAGGAAACAGCAAACAGCAATTGCTCGAATCAGGATCGGACACACCAAACTCTAGCACTCTCACATTTTCAACAATAGTCCCCTCGCACTATGCGAAGCTTGCAACGAAACTATAACAGTCAACCATATCATCATAGAATGCAGGAAATACAGCTAAGTACGAAGAAGGCTAAATATTAAGGACGATTTCATAGAATCAACCACCTCAACGTCCTACCAGGAAGCACTGATAACATTCTGCGAGACCATCGGTATTCTCAACAGACTATAACAATCTCACGTAACCAGTCTCTTTTATCTTCGCTACAATTTCACCCATAAGGTGCAACTAAATTTGTCGACAGTCGCTAATAACCTCTGACGTTGATGCGACTTTAAACCTTAAGAGAAAAAAAAGAAAGAAAGAAAGAAAAGATTGTCCATTCAAGTTCTCCTGCAAAAGTAAAACCAATACTGTAGTCATGTCCCTAAGCATTCTCAAACTCGACTTTTCAATCCCTCTTAGCTTGTTAACGACACGCCACGCTCGTGACGCGTTAGCTTCACGTAGACCAAGCCAATTCCCAGAGCCACAGCTGATGGAAGAACGCAGAACCCGTGTAAAGCCGTACTGGAAAAATTAGACCACGATGAATCCCTTCGCGCTATCACCAGATATTTTTGGCAACTCCATCGAGATAAAAACTTAGCAGGTATAAGAAAAAAAGTCTGCCACTAGACGCGCGATAAAGACGAACATCTACTATTCGCTGGCGCCGTTCGGTTAGCTCCTGGACGACTGGCGAACAGCGCACAATCGTCTACAACGAAGGCCTGCGCCCGATAAACTCGTGGAGTGGGACAGAGACGGTCGACGCGTTGCATAACACCACTGCTAGGAGTGCGAAATGAGCGTGGAACGTGGGTGAGCCTGTCACGCACAGTGTCCGAGAGGATCATCTCTTCGAGGTGGTCACTGGCATCGAGGAACATGCAAGGACATCCGGTGAGTCGATCGATCATAAGCAATTTTTTTATGTAGACATTGCTGTCAACGTGCTTCGTACGAAACCACGACGCTTAGCTAAATACAGTTGATAATTGGACGATGATAATTAAACTCCTGATGTTTCTATACTTATGATAAATGAAAACATTGGGAAATGTATGAGATTGCGCACGAATGCAGAAATATATAAAATATCAACGATAATGTACATTCTATATATATATATACAGTTTAAAAGATAAGACATGCTTTCATTTAACACTAAACCTACCGCGACCGGTCAAATAACCATTTTCAAACTTTTGTATGAATTATATATGAATTATATACAATTGTCTTATGCATTATTCAATTTAGTGAATAACGTTTACATTAGATTGAAAGCAATGTCTCTAAGAGTAGTCGCTTGTTAAATCTTCAATCTTTATATGAATCGATAATAACATGAATTTGCGTAAACATCCTCAGGCTAGTGATAATATAAAACATTTCGTGAGTTTAGGAAATGATAGAGCACATTAGAGTCGGAGGATTGAATTTTACGCTGTGTTACCGGCTTTCAAAACGATTGTTGAGCTGATTGATTCAGGTAGTCTAACAGATCGGTGTACGTTTTTTTACTTGAGCGAAGATAAGTCGACGAAGTATTCTCAGACTACTGCAATCAAGTCTAATTATATCTTAGAAGATTAGCGATTAAATTGATAAAGAAGTTCAGTCGCACAGTGAATGTCGTTTGTATAGTCCTCTGACAGCTGACTGGAACTTTTGCATTAATTAATTCAAACTGAATATTATTTATTCTGCGATAACCAGACTGCGGACTTTAAGAATTTATAATGTAAACAGATGTTATAGATAACCAAACAGTATGTGCACTCACGGAAAAAGAAATAACGATATTATTATAATAATTGTAGAATATAAATTGTAACTAGCGATAAAAAAAAAAAAAAACAATTCTTTAATCGCAAAAAACTTTCTGCTCAGGATTGGAGGCCGACAGTGGTGATAACGTGCAGTTTAGCGGTTGTTTTCGTGGTGGTCATGTGGAGCATACGAAAGAGATCCTCCTCGGATAAATCGAAAAGGGCGAAGGAGAAGGACGCGAAGGAGGACGAAGAAATCGAGGAAATCGACACTTCCAGTGGCGACGTTGACCACGAAGTCTACTTGACCAATGATAACATTCCTGAGTTGCCCTATCCGAATTGGGTGAAAGTGGGTGAAATTCAAGAGTTGTACGCGTACCCTTTGAAGTCTGGACGAGGGAAGGCTGTCAAGGAATGCGATTTCACAGAGTTTGGGATCAGCATTGAGAGCAAAGGGCGCTTCACCCTTCGAGATAGGTGATTCATTTTTCATTTGGATAGAGCTTGCTGGAGAACATTTTCATGGCTTGAACCTATTAAGGGGGGAGAGTCTGGTCCAGCTAATGTATTTCTCTAATGCAGATAATTTCCAGATATAATTAATTTTTGTTACTGAAACATTTTTTACATATAAGGGGACGTTCAAAGAAGAAAATTTGACAGTGTAGATTTAATTTGAATGTATATATATATAGATATAGTAGTCGCAAGGAAAGGATTCGGTCAAAACGGTGGGACGCATAGCTTATCGAATTTTTATCCGATTCACTTGATTTAACGCCTAAATTGAAGGTAATTAAGTTTATATGCGTATGCACCTCGACTCTTAATGAATTATTATTATAGCATAAAGTTATTGGAAAATGACGGCCGACATGTATCGTTCATTTGCATATTTTTTGCCGCCATTTTTACAATTAACAATTCTTTTTTGCAAATTGAGGTTCATACGCATTTTACGTATCTACTAAAGAAAAAAATTTTCTGATTTTATCTATCAGATGTTTTCCCAGGGTTCTACGTATTCCACCGTTTTCACCGAATTCTTTCCTTGCGACTACTATATCTATTAGGTTGTCCCGAAAGTCTCTTTCGCGTGTTGCACTCAATTACTTTATGTGGTCGTGTTTATATAAATAGACAATCTAATTTCATAGATATTCATGTTGTAACAGTAATGGAGCAAAATGAATCGCGCACAAATCAGTAATGTAACATAAAACATAAAATATTGCGCATGTATTACTTATTAATCAAGCGAAAGAAACTTTTGGGACAACCTAATATACATGTATACATTCAAATTAAATCTACACTGTCAAATTTTCTTCTTTGAACGTCCCTCTATATGTAGAAAAAGTTTCAATAACAAAAATTAATTATATCTGGAAATTCTCTCCCCTTAAATCCTATCTATGCTTGCCGATAGTTTATAATTGCAACCAGTGAAATTGTTACACTCTCCAGCTGTAGAGCTGATACGAAAAACTCATATTTAACATCTATAAATATCATGAGGTGTCACATGTTTGTTCGTCACGCTTGGAACGCGTCACTTTAGACTTACGTCTCTCGCTTAACATTCATTAACGATGCATAGCGAGCACCAAGTCCAATAGAATCGCCAGGGAGTTGACGAAGCGTATATGTCACTCTACGTTATAGTTGTAAACACAATAGTAACACTGCTCGTCAGAATGTTTCTAGTGTACAACGAGGAAACTGGCCGCTTCCAGACTGGCAGGCAGTACCCAACGCTGATTTTGGTTAGCCTGTCCGCGGTGGACGAGACCAAGGTGAAACTCGAAGCCGTAGGGATGCCCAGCATGGTTTTCACGGTGCCAAAATGTTCAGACGAAAGCCCCGAAGCCGTTCAATGCACAATGTGGTGGGGAGAGCCGGTGAAGTGTATCGATTGTGGCTCAGAACCTGCTGAATGGTTATCAAGGTTCGAAGAAATTCGTATTCCGCACCAGAAACTCTTGCAACTAATTTCAAACTTTATACATATGACATACAATTATACAGTGTGTTCAGAAAAAAGCATTCAATATTTATATGGTGTATAGAGCATACTGTAGTGAGTAAAAAAGCTTTAGTAAACATAGGTCCAAAGATCAACCGTTTCTGAGATATAAAGATTTTTGTTTGCTAGTATCATCGTACAGCTGAGGCACTTCCATTGCCACGACCATACATAAAATGCATATCTGCCATTTCTTTATTCGAATAATACTCTGACATTTTCGCGATACTTAACACTTTCGTGATATCTAAATTGCCGATCCACAACTGACTAAATCTCAATGAAATCTACTGTCGGACTTGAATGGGAACATTCAGAATGCAATTTATAAACATTGACATAAACATCGCATGCGATGGAAGCAAATAAGTCAATTGTGATACTAGCAAACAAAAATGTTTATATCTCAGAAACGGTTGACCTTTGGACCTATGTTTACTAAAGCTTTTTTACTCAGTACAGTGTGCCCTATACACCATATAAATATTGAATGCATTTTTGCACATCCTGTACAGAAAACATACAGAATGTATGTTGAATATGCTCTAAATACAAGCACTATAATAATACCGTTATTTCATTTTGCTTGTGTGCACATATCTTGGTAACTTATTTTCGTTATGTTTGTCATTTATATTAGTTTATATAATAAATGTATAAAATCCTCGATCTATTAATAACACATGCTCGTTTCATTTAGATTTCTGACTGGAACGAATTCGGGGCTACGATTGGGCTGCGCCATGATGAACAAACGAAATATCACCGATGGCCCTTGGGAAAATTACACCAAGGTGTACAAGACGCTCAGAAACGAGGATACTGTAAGAATAGTAAATTAGAATTTAATCGGATCTAAAAATTGCAATCGATCGAACGTTTTGAGTGAAACGTACCTAGAGGGAACACGTTTCAGGGTTTATTCAGCGATCTGGCCAGTTACATGTTGATGACCACACGGTCCGTTGAGCTTCTAAACGAGAAACTGGAGATACCTGTACCTGCCTTACAATTCCGTCCGAATATTTTAGTCTCCACGGAAAAACCCTTCGAAGATGACAACTGGGAATGGATTAAAATTGGCAGACGAGCTGTGATCAGAAACGTCAAACCGTGTACGAGGTACGGCAGGAATTTATAGTCATTTATATTCATAGGTGATAGGTTTACTTCTGTCTCGACAATGCAAATTTGAGACCTCTCAACAGTCGTTTTCGCTAGATAAATGTTCAAACTTGTGCGCAAGATCCTATAGCTAGTCTACTTTTGCTTTTTTGTCTCATAATTAATAATATTCTGCAGTGTTTCGCAATCAAAAGAAGCATTATGGTGGTGCGACAGTGGTGCCGCGTTGTCTGAGCTAACATACGCTGCTGAATATTGTTAAGATTATTTAGAGGTCTCAAATTTGCATTGTCGAGACAAAAATAGGACAGAACGCAAGCCACTGTACGTATACAGTGGTGTGGAGCTGTGTGAGTGCGTACGAGAACATACAAAAGACAGGAGTCCATTCTCTCAAGTTGTAAAGATCGATGTCCGACCGACATTACGACCTCACAAGATCCCTTCCAGCGACAGTACGTGTTTACAATTTACCAGTTCTACACATGTGTTTTTTTTTTCATTACATTTGCATTACATTTACATTTACAATTCGCATCGACAATCCTTCACACATCTGTTCAACACATTCTGTTGGGGCCCTCGGGGTTGCTTAGCCCGTACTGTAGCTATACAAACACCGCTACAGCCCCTGAGGGCCCGAAACATGCGATTCTCCACTGGGGATCCTCCATGTCATTTTGCCTATGTCTGAAGGGCATGAATAATACGCTTGTTGCTATGTCAGGGACTACGGAACAAGGTGGGAGTAGTTGAGCGGCCATTTAATTTTAACTTTACAGTAATAAGGTGGAACTGGTGCATGTTTGGGATTAGAGTGACTCAGCAAGGGCAAATTACTAACAGAATGCACAATTCCAAAATAAAAAATTTCGTGACGTTCACTACACGTTACAGGTGCAAATTTATTCGAGTGAACCCTGAATCTGGCATTATGGATGAACAGGAGCCGTCGAAAACGCTGAAAACGTATGGAAATTCATTATTATTTTACTATGGTTCAGCTGAACGTGAGACAAATGCTCCATTTTTCAAAATTCACTTCTTAATGTAAGAGTTGATTCTGGACGGACCTAATTCAAAGAGATATTAAAAATTTGAGGTTGAAACTTGCTGGGTTCTAAAGAAACCTTTATATTGATTATTTTCAAGGTTACCCAAGAGTTCCTATCTCGCGCAGAAAGGAATTTCATTTTTACAAATGATTTAATAATTTTATTAAAAATGCCAAGTCCCACTATTCCTCTCGGTGAATTTAATTTCGATTTCTCTCCAGTTTTCGAGAACTGATGGACCCGGAACGTGTTAAACTCGAGGGAAAAGTGCCAACGATTGGAATACTCTGCGGACTATACCTTTCTGGAAGAGTGAACATCGGAGACGAAGTTTTCGTGCACGTGCCTGACAATTCCTCCGTAGAAACCCGTCAACCTGAAGAAACTGCAAGCTAGAACTTAAAACCGACAAAAAAAAAAAAGGAGGTGCTTCCTATTGGCCTTTGACTTTGAAAGTAGGTTACTCACTAACGCGCGAGTAATAATCTAGAATATTGAAAGATACTTAAAAAATTGTTTCCTGAAAAGTATAAGTACTCAAAGACAATACAATATACAATTTTTGATGACGAATTATTGTTGACAAGATGTTTAAACGAATATACGAATAAAGTATTGATTGTTACAAAAAGATTCGAGTATTTTACCAATTGCCAAACACGATAACATTTTATACAAGTTGAAACAGTGAAATTAATGTACGCTAATTACAAGTACGAAAGAACTTCTCCGTGATATGGTTTGGAAAATAAAATTTATATGGTCTACATGGCAATCCATAATCCTTAACATTCCCTCAATTCCTTCCTACTTTCCGTTGAATTTATTTGTCTGAAAGAAGCTTAACGTATCTGAAGACTTTAATTACGAACAAAGCCAGACCATGTTACGTCGAGACCGTTGTCGCATGGAGATTGTTCCCGAAATATTCCACCTATTTTTGAGCCTATTAAAACGCCACAGACATTTCAGAGGAACACCGTAGGGTACAAAGGTAATTGCACGATGAACGATGAACGATGAATGACCACAATGACCAGAGATCTCGTGGGACGAAGAGATACGGCGTTTGGAGTAGGGAGGCCTGCCATGCTCTGTTCGTTATTCGTTCCTCTTTTTATCACTCCACACTCTGAAACACTCGACGCAACACGTTGCGTGCAATGTCGGCGCTTAAGTTGTTACGTGCATTCGGCGTTGCGATTTTTTCACTGACAATAGTTTGTAGTCAGCAATCCAAGCCAGATGGTAAGTAAAATTACAACAGCATCGTATCAATTTTACCGCATGTGATTGCATTATCTTGAAAACGTTGATCAGTAGGTAGATCATATATTCTCGTAGCGTTTCAGGCGACTCTGGGCCACATTAGACCTCAAGCTTCTCCTGAAGTCCAAGCAAAGGCGGCTGAAGGTGTCGTTGAGAGGCTACTAGGCGTAGAACGAGCCAAATTATTCGTTATGATCGTAGATCCCGATCTAGGACCCGTTGGAAAGGATACTTTCGCAGTAATTTAATTTTCTACTTTGAAAATACATCGGTAAAGCAGTCACGTGTGCCATGGACGTTAGGTGTCCAGTAGTTCACTAAAGGAACTATAGATGGGGATGTTCAGATAGTTCCTCTGGTTTAGTTTTGGATTTACGATAAGTGCCTTCAGCATAGACAACTGTTGACCCAGTGATACGCTTTATCTCTACAGTGCTCGACCATGCATTTCACGAGATACCAATTCAGATTCCACAATATCGTTGACTCGCCGTGATTAGCATTGGCAATGGCACTCTTGAGTCACTGAATTAGATTATAGGACGGAGCTGGAGATACGGTATTTGCTGACTGCAATGTTCTTAATTTAATACTGTTATTATCTTTCCAAATAATCATGAATGATAATAACAGAACATTTCGTAACAGCTGATTTAATACATGCAAGCAAATAGAACGAGACTATTGGAATAGTAGAATTCGATTACTAACTGTTTTGGGGAAGCTACCATGTACCTCGATATTTGTTAAACAGATAAGGAAAACCAGTCACGATAGAATTGAGATCCGTGGCACCTCCGGTGTGACAGTTGCATGGGGCTTGCACTACTACCTGAAGAATTACTGCAACGTACACGTGTCGTGGGAGGGCAGTCAACTAGAGCTTCCAAATACATTACCAGACGTTCGCGTGAACGTCACTTCGAACGACAGGTTGCCTGCAAGTTACAGATCGTTAGCGACAGGCATTCCACTCTGCGTAATTCAATATACGAACCTTCGAACAGATTCAGGTACTACCAAAACGTGTGCACCGTGGGCTACAGTTTCGCATGGTGGCAGTGGGACCAATGGGAGAAGAACATCGACTGGATGGCCCTTAATGGAATCAATTTGGCGCTCGCGTTTAATGGCCAGGAGGCTATCTGGGAAAGGGTGTACCTAGAGATGAATCTAACCCGAGATGAAATGAATGAGCACTTCGGGGGGCCTGCTTTTTTACCTTGGTAGAGTTACAAGTCATGAAAAAACTGTAAACGCAATCAAAGCGTGACTTTTCGAGTACAGGGTGCGGCAGAAATAACTCCCACATTTTCAAAAACGATTGAAAAAAAGTGGTACAAGATGCCACCAGAAACTTTTTATTTCTTAAATCTAGATATAAAAAGGTTTCTTTTACTTTGTTTTAAAAATTATGTCATCCAAATGGTGGGCTTCACGGGCGATACACATTTAGAGTCGTTCTTGAAAGTTTTCTATCATTCTCGCTAGCATTTCGGAGGAAATCTTTTCAATTTCCTCTTGGATGACCTTCTTTAGTTCATTCAAGAGCCAAGGACGATGTTTGAAAACCTCGGCCTTGAGGTATCTCCACAGAAACAAGTCACGTGGACTTAAATCCGTCGAGCTACGGTCCATACAGGCCGTCGTCAGCGCGAAATTTTGCAGATGGTGTTTCCGGGTCGAGTGATTACTTTACGCGAAAGAGTTCCGTGGGCACCGTAGCTCGGCGGATTTAAGTCTAGGTGACTTTTTTCTGTGGAGATACCCCAAGGCCGAGGTTTTCAAACATCGTCCTTGGTCCTTGAATGAACTAAAGAAGGTCATCCAAGAGGAAATTGAAAGAATTTCCCCCAAAATGCTAGCGAGAATGATGGAAATTTTCAAGAACGACACCAAATGTGTATCGCCCGTAAAGCCCACCATTTGGATGACATAATTTTTAAAACAAAGTAAAAGAAACCTTTTTACATCTAGATTTAAGAAATAAAAAGTTTCTGGTGGCATCTCGTACCACTTTTTTTCAATCGTTTTTTAAAACGTGGGAGTTATTTCCGCCGCATTCTGTACAAGAATTCTGAACTGTCTGTTCAGGGCTAGAATGGGCAACATTCGAGGATGGGGTGGGCCTTTAAGTTCCTCCTGGCATGAGAAGTCGCTTCGTTTGCAGCATCAAATCCTTCGAAGGATGAGGGACCTTGGTATCATCCCTGTCCTGCCTGCGTTCGCAGGTCACGTGCCAAGAGCGTTCGCCAGACTATTTCCAAAGGCAAACATGACCAAAGGAGGCTCTTGGAACCAATTCACAGACAAGTATTGCTGGTAAGCAATGGCGAATCCGCAGATACGTCGGGCAATTGTCATTTATTATAATTTGCAAAAATAAAATGTGATTTCAGCCCTTACTTCCTGGAACCTACGGATCCATTGTTTCATGTGGTTGGAGAGAAATTTTTGAAAACGGTAATTGCGATTACCATTTCTAGAAAGGACATTTTGAAATTCGTACACGATTCTAGTTTATCTTTTATAGTACATCGAGGAGTTTGGAACAGATCATATATACAATTGCGACACTTTCAATGAGAATGAGCCGTACACCAGCGAGTTGAAGTTCCTGAGGAACGTGGGACATTCAGTTTTCTCAGCCATGAACAACGTTGACCCGAAAGCGATATGGTAACAGTGTTTCAGAAGAATATCGAGTAAATATTCGATGATTATGTCCTCTACGTCCGCAATTATCGTTTAAGGTTAATGCAAGGTTGGTTATTCGTCCACGACTTCGCATTCTGGACCCAGCCTAGGGTTCAAGCCTTTTTATCATCAGTACCAATCGTAAGTACTGGAAAATGAAACGCCATGTTATTTGAAGTTATTAAAAATTCCCTCCTACAGGCAATGATACCAAGCTTATATCTGAAACACTTAACTCGAAGTTGTTGGGACGTTTCAGGGAAGAATGATAATCTTGGACCTCCAATCTGAACAGTTTCCGCAGTACAACAGATTGAAGTCCTACTATGGCCAACCATTTATTTGGTGCATGCTGCACAACTTTGGCGGAACGTTGGGAATGTTTGGTTCCGCAAAAATTATAAACAATGTGAGTAAGACTCCAAGTGATTGGTGAAAAATGTAATTTACCACAAAACGATCAAAAGTATTTCCACTTTAGCGAGTTTTTGAAGCAAGAAACGCGAATGGTAGCATGATGATCGGTACTGGCCTAACACCTGAGGGCATTAATCAGAACTACGTCATCTATGATTTGATGAATGAGATGGCCTATCGTCGAAAACCTGTCAACTTAGATAACTGGTACGATTAGGAATTCATTCTGTGGTTGTTGGTCCATTTTAATTTCCCATGTTACTGTCTAATCGCATCAGGTTCGAAAATTACGCCAGTCGAAGATACGGAGCGTGGAACGAATACTCGTCTACTGCTTGGAAGGCTCTAGGAAGAACAGTGTACAACTTTGCTGGCACAGCAAAAGTGAGAGGTCGTTATGTTGTCACTCGACGTCCAAGTTTAAATCTGAAGCCATGGGTAAGTGGATTCTACTATCGACAAAAGAGGACATCACAGATATCTTCCAGACAACGACGTCTGTATGCAGGCTTGGTACAAACGCAACTCGTTTTTCGAAGCATGGAACGTGCTTCTTCGAGCAAGGTATGGAAGAGGCAACAGTTCCCTCTACCAACATGATGTGGTCGACGTGACGAGACAAGCTCTTCAGCTGAAAGCAGATGATATTTACTTAGATTTGATGGAATCCTTTAATAAGAAGAACGTCACCGCATTCAAGTATGTGTAAATTAAATATACCGCATAAATTTCAACTGTATATTATAAACCTTATTAATATAACTTGCGTTCAGTTTACACGCTAAATTATTTGTGGAACTCTTCGATGACATGGAAACGATACTGGCTTCTGGAAGAGCTTTCCTGTTGGGCACTTGGCTGGAGGAAGCAAAGAGCCTGTCAACCAACAACGCAGAAAAACTGTTGTACGAATACAACGCCAGAAATCAGATTACTTTGTGGGGACCTAGGGGAGAAATTAGGGATTATGCGAACAAACAATGGTCCGGTGTCGTCGTAGATTATTTCAAGCCTCGTTGGCAAATTTTTATCGAAGCTCTCGAACTTTCCCTCGTTCAGAAGACAAGACTGAACGTCACGAAGATCAACGAGAGGATATTCAATCAAGTCGAGAAACCATTTATTGTCTCCCAAAAAGTCTACGCGACGGAAGCAAAAGGTATGCAAGGATTTTCAAATTTACATTGAGTTAGATTAGCAATCAACATTCCATTATTGTTCTATTGCTATTAACCAATGTGATGATGA